TGCTTCAAGTGCTCTGCGAACGCCGTGAGGCCGAAATCGGTAACCTTAAGGTTACCGTCTTCGTCGAGGAGGAGATTCTCTGGTTTCAGGTCCCGGTGGTAAACTCCGCGGCTATGGCAGAAATCGATTGCAGAGATCAATTGCTGAAAGTAAACCCTAGCCACATCCTCTCGCAATCGACCTTTAGCAATTTTGGAGAACAGCTCACCGCCTCTGACAAGCTCCATGGCGAAGTAGATCTTCGATTTACTCGCCATCACCTCGTGGAGCTCCACAATATTCGGATGCTTCACCATTTTCATAACAGAGATTTCTCTCTTGATCTGCTCCGTCATGCCGACTTTGATAATCTTCTCCTTCCCGACCACCTTCATCGCCACGCTCTTTCCCGTCCGCAGATTCCGAGCATGGTAGACCTTAGCGAAAGTTCCGTGCCCTAGAAGCCGGCCTAATTCGTACTTGCCGTCGAGCAAACTGGAGTTGCCGCTGTCTCTGCCTTTATCCGCCATGTTTGCCGCCGAATCCGAACTCGATTGAATCGAGATGTGTTTGATTTTTGGTAGAGAGAGAGCAAGTGAAGATTAAAGAGGAAAAGGGGGAGAAGAAGGCGAGAGGAGGTCGATGACTTCACCCGTCTTCGACGTGTTTCCGGTGGCAATTTCTGCCGCCGACGATGAAGGTTTTGGATCTTCCGATCAACTCAGACTGAATCAACGATACCACTCTCATCTCTCCGCATTCCCTGCAGAGTTTCTGAAACCCTACAATTTCCAATCGGCGATTTGCAGATTTTTCTCTCTCTCTTTCTTCTGGTTTTTGTTTTCCTTTTTCTTCTGTTCTCTTCGGAATTAAATGGCCTTAAAACTTATATAATGGACTTTCGGAACGAAATTACCTTTATGCCTTCACCCAATTCTCGGATGACGTTATTTCTCTGTTTTTTCTGCTCCAAATAATTGAATTATTAGCATTGTATTAATAACGATTTTACTTTCATTAAAGAATAATAAAATTATCATAATAACTCGTACTTAATTCGTTTTCAGTTTTTTTTTTATAATATATAATTCATTTTTAAATTGTAGTCCTTATGCTTTCGATAACATTCTTTTTATCTCTGTATTTTTTAATTTTTGTGATTTTTTATGAGTTCATTTTTATCTAATTTCTTTCCATTATAAATTTCGCAGTTTACTTTAAATTTTTTGAAATATAATCATAAATTTATATTAAAAAATTTTGATTAATATTGAGATTTACAAATAGAAGCCACATTTGTCATCTTTTCAAAGTATCAAAATGTAAATTTGTTCTCACAAAGTACAAGTACTAAAACACACAAATTTTGGAAGTACGGTGATTGATTAGAAAAATGATCAACTGTGGATAGCTCGAGTGGTCGACGAACATTTAAAACATGCATAAAGAGAGAAAAGGCTTTGACGCTCAAATTAGTCTAAGTCTGATCTATTGTTAGAGAGAAATAGTAGTCTTGTAGAACTCATAAGTGAGGTGAAACTTCCTATTTATCGGCTTTCGACGGGCAAAGCAGCTCAGTTATAGCTGCTACATAAATCACAACATGTTGGTAAAAAAACGATAAAGAGCAACGAAGCACGCTACATTGATCAATGGCTCGTACTTTACAAAGAATAGCAACTCGGCCTTTTTAAAGACACATATGACCATCAATTCATACGTTAGCTAGCCAAGAGAGGTGGTCGAGTTGCTATTCTTCTTCAGAGACTAATGCTTTAATGTTGAAAGTTATTGTGGTGATTTAGAACTTTCTGACTTACATTGACATGTGACACTTGATAAATCACCTTCAATATACAAGACTAAAATAAATGTTTTGAAAGTATAGAAACTAAACAAAAAGTACAAAGAAGAAGCAGAAAATCTAGGGACTAAAATGGTATTTAATTTACTATGGACATAGTTAAGACATACTTTCTCGACTAAAATGTCATAGGTTCGAGTCATACTCCTAGTCCTCTTGTTGAACACTTAAAATTGCAGCTGAATGTAAAAAAAAAAAAATTAAGAAAATATATTTTTAAAACTTAAGAGAAGTTTGGAATTAAGTAGAATACCAAATACCAATACATAACAAAATTGTAATCAAATATTTTGAAACGTTGCTAGAAGACTAGTGAGACATAACCATCTCCCATTCAAATTGGGTATTTTCTTTTTCAGTTGTAGACAATGGAAATCAAGTTGAATATGAAATTTCATTTCCTTTTTTTTCTTTTTTTATACAGTCTTTGGCTTCGATGTAGGGAGATGTTGTTTCGTATATCAATGATATAGGTCGAGTACGTTTCGTATATCAATGATATAGGTTCGGTACGTTTTATTCTATCTCAAAAGACAAAAAAAAAAGTATTTTTGGTATTAATTAACTTATAATAATACTTTGACAAATGGATTTTTTTCGGTTTGGATCGATTAGAATTTTAAATTTAGGCATTAGGTTGATATTTATGGTTCAATAAACTTTTAACTCATGAAAGAGTGTATTTAAAAATGTCTAATTTTAAAGCATTATTGAGTATGAGTTTATGATGGATTGAAAAAAAAAAAGAATATATATATGACAAAAGTTTAAAAAGAAAAAAGGTGCCTATATTCTTTGTCGACAAAAGCAAAGATGAAAGATTACACCACTTTAATCTATCTATTTCAAGRAAATAAATATAGCAGAGTGATTTTTCAGAACTAAAATTACTTTTGTCATTTTTTACGATCACTTATCAAATATTAATGTCATTTGAAAGCGATATTGTCAAAATTACTTATATTTAATAGTAATGTGTTATGTTTATATAAGAATGGCTTTTGAAAATGATAAAAGTGATTTTGAGTACACAAAAACTTCTCCAAAACATACATGTATAATTTGAAAAATAAAAATAAAAGGTGAAAAATATATAATTAAAGTCATCAATAAATAGAAGAATTGTGTAGTATTTTCAATATATTATTATGATATAATTTAATGATATGTCTTCTTATATTTAATAAAAATTAGAAAACTCTCGGTAAGAAATGAAATAAAAATATAAATACAAAACAACACCTCTAGATTTTTATTTTGCCAAAAGAGAAGAAATAACTTTGAGATTTTTTTTTCCCTTTTTTTAATAGCAAACTTTAGAATTAAGATAAATATCAAATCTTTAACCATGTGTTCTCCTTATCAATATTCCATTAGAAAAGCAAAAACGAAAAAATAATAAATAATAAAAAAAAATCTCCCCAAAACGACGTCGTCTATTTCATTTGATTTCCTCGTAAAACGGGTTCAAAGTCGGTAAGGAAACCGCCCAGAACCAGGATGTGCAATTACAGTTATGCCCCAGGAAGAAGGAAGACGGATTCTGATTTGATTGGTTGGTCAATAAGGGGTGGGACCCACAAGAGTGGGTGTCAATTTTTTAAATTATTTGAATCCCGTATCCCGTTAGTGGTGTGAGGCGGAGGTCGGGGGAGGGTAAAGTTGTAAACTCACGAAATTTCGTGTGCGCTGTCGAGAATTTATGTTCTTCTTCGTAGATTCATAGGGAAAACAGTTTTTTTGTGTGGGGCCCGCATGCATCTGCAACTGCCCAAATTTGTGGTCCCACCCCACGCTGGACTGTCACGTGGCATGCAAAAAAAATGGGAAATAATTTCATGACCGATCATCATCATCATTCAAATATAATCATATGAGTGGGTGATACTATCAAAGCTTCTCTCTTTAACCCCTAAAAATATTAAATTACAAATACTTTCGAATTTTCTTCATTTTAATTCACCTAATTTTAATATTATTTTGATTTCTATTTGTTGAATAAAACATCAAAATAGTCGTGAACTAAAACCTAACYTTTAGGAAGGACATGAACTGAAATGAACCAAAATTAAAAATAATAAAAAAATTTATGATCTAAAGAGGCAAAATAAATTATTAAATATTATATTTGTTTGCTATAAACATTCTTTTTTTCCAGAAGGAAGCATAACTGATAATTGACATATATTTTCAATTATGAGGTCGTGAGTTTGATTTCTCTCTCCACATACATAAAAAAACATTCTCTTTTTTAATACAACATGTAAGGTAGCGATTCAGTTCGCTTAATTGAAATAAATGTTTTAACTCATTGACTAAAGTTGGGTTAGCGTATTATCTCATTATAACCTACTTTCTAATAATTTTTAAAAAAATCTCAAATCACATTTTAAGTAGGATAAAAAAACTCAATCAATCAGAATTTATCTTAATTGATTATGACATCTATTTTCGACTGAAAAATCATGAATATGAATTTATAACTATACACGTTGTATTAAAAAACAATTGAAAGTCAAAATAATATAAAATATGATGCAAATAAAGCATATGGAAAAATTGAAGGGAAGTCCAAAGATGACGGAGATGGCCGCCACCCGTCAGCGGGTGAACGTTTGAAGAAGCGGCGGCGGAGCCAAAGTTAACGTTTAGTCAAATTTAAGGAACGGCTCTTCCGTCACTGGACCCACCGTCCCCCGGCGGCCACTATGCGACAAAAGTTTATGTCCACTCATCACTTTTTTTTTCTTTTTAATTAGAAAACATCAATTACAAATATAATTTCAAAAACAAAAAACAAATAAATAAAAATTCCGTTTTCTCGCAGTTTCGAATTGCTTAATTTTAATCCTTCAACTTTGTTTAAATAATCACCCTTTCGTACCTAGTATATTTTTTTTGTTTTTTCTTTTCAAATTATGTTTTTTCAATACAACAAATGGAGTTGGAGATTGTAAATTTAGTTAGAGATAAGGATTAATTATGGATGATTAAACTCATGTTGATAAAATATAACAAATAAATTACGAAAAAACAAACATAATTTTAAAATGAAAATCGTTATTGGAACCTTAGTTTTTGTTATCTATGTTTCTAAATAATCGTAGGAAACAAACATAATTTTGAAAAATATATTAAAAAAATGACGAAGTAAAAAAGTAGAAAAATGTTAAAAATTGAAGGACTAGGATAAAATTTAACCCTAAAAATTTAGGTATGGTAGGACCATTGACGCAACCCAAAGAGAAAATCTATAAAATTGATGAAAACAAATTTGTAAATGAGGACCGTATTATAAGGATAAGAATAGGTTTGTCATCAAGATTTTATTGACTTTGAGGAGTATAATTTAATATTTTTGATTGGTTTAGTAGTCGTTTTTGTCTGTTTGAGTGAGCTCATTTAACATTTCGAGACATCAATATTTGCTTTTATTTTTAAAAATCTAAAAAAAAAAAAATCCAACTAAACCAACCCACTTACGTTACTTATCCAAGCAAAGAGAAGAAGAGTCCAGCAGCCATTTTGCAACCACAAATAGAGATATTAGAGAGACACCTTCATTGACATTTTCATTTACTAAGGGCTATGCATTTGGTTTGGGATATTGCCTTCAAAATGCTTGACTTCTTGTCATCTTCAATGGCACAACCCAACATTTATTAGTCCTCTAATTTACGAGTTTGAAAAGTATGAATTTGTATCGCTAAAAATATAATTGCCATATTAATTCAGGATAATCAAACTCACATACCAAGGACATAAACCCGTCTTAATGACTCTATACAATGTGATAAAATATAACACCAGAAACAAAAATGAATAACATAGACTTAAAACATTATCTGATATAGAAATTTCAATAGCAAATTGTTTTTCAAGAAAATCATACATCTTTGCACTTATGAAATAGCTCAGTTGAACTTAACTCTACGGGGTAATCTTATTAAGAGTGGCTTCCATTATTAAAGAACTATTTATGAATGTAAATTTATAGTGTTGAATAGAGGGAGTAAGTACTACAGAGTGGATAGTAATTTTGTATCTGTTGTAATTCAACTCATTACATCATTCTTTAATGATTCTAACATAGTGGTAATGCACGTAAGTAGTATTCATACTCGTTTAAAAAAAAGGTTAGTATTCATATTGAAACTTTTTCTTGATGAAATATATAAATTAAAATACAAGCTTAGTCTCACAGTTTGTGTCCATAGTTCCCTCGAACTTTACCAAGTGTCTAATAAGTCCCCAAACTTCTAATTTTGTGTATAATAGACTTCTGGCCTATTCGACATTGTTTAAATTTAACCTTTCTACACAAAAAAAAAATTAATTAATTAATTAATTTGGTGTCAAATAAAATCCTAAATTTTCAATTTTATGTTTATAAAAAAAAACAAATTAAAAGTTAAAAGAATCTATTAAATTTTATTTTTTATGTTAAAAAACTCGTTGCACACAAGCCAACCTAAACTCTACCTCCATAAATCGTACTAAAACAGAAAACCCTATTACACCCAAAATTGAATATTCAAAGACATATTAGACACTCTTTAAAGTTTAAAGACTTGTAAAAGATAAGTGTGAAACTTCAGGACTAAAATTGTAATTTAACCAAATATATATATTAGATACAAATGGATCGAACTTACACCTTTTAGTTGGACTAATAGATACAAATTGTTAAACGATATCGTGATTTGTAACAACCACTCCCGATAATTTCTCCTATTACTCACAATAAATAATGATTTGCTGACAGGGCAACTTTGAAACATATTTTCTAAATTTTTTAATATCTAGTACACTATGAAGTTTACTACTAATAAAACCAAAAATCATAAAGAATAGTAGGTATAAAAGATTTCCCAAAAAGTACTTCTTTGAACAATTGCCAATTTTTTAGTAAAAAGTGATTATGAGACAAATTAGAAATTTAACCTATTCCTTTTCAGAAGGAATTTTTTCATATGAAAAAAAAAAAATCAACATATATTAGAAAATTAGTAAAATTCTCTCTCTTCTCGTATTTTAATTTTAATAAATTGACCTTATCTTTATCCATCTTATTCGTACCAGAGATTATCACCACGTCGATGTGTTAATCCTAATAAATAATTAAAAAAAGAAATGAGTGAAAGACAAAGAAAAATAATATTTGGATGTGCTTTTTCAGAAAAGAATAATAAACAAATACAAATTGGAATGCTAAATATAAAAATAACAAAGAACAGTTTTTTTTTTAATTAAAAAAAAAGGACGAAGTTTTCTTTTACTGAAGGAAGGTAAAATTAGACTCTATCCATTGCATTAAGGCTATTCCCCTGTGAATTAAATGTATCACATGTTCAATTTATTTCTCCTTTATTTACAATTTTGAACAGAAGAAAATTTGGAATTGATATCCCCTTTCAAACATGGAGGAGTATTTGATATTTCTATCGACATTTTCAAAATCTTTTTATAAATTTTACAGAAAAAAATAGAGTCAAGGTGGTCCTCGAGATCACCTGGATCCCACGAGGCGGTTTGGTCTGAATGTAGAAAAAAAGAAAGAAGAGAAAAGCTCGGATTCCTTTATGAGGTCCTATCCCACTTATCTTTTTGGTATGTTGAAGTTCGTCTCCCTCTTCCTTTGCTCAATTTTTTCATAAAATTCCGTCTGTATTATTAGTTTAAAAATATGCCTCATGAGTACCTTGGCTTTCATTAAAAAAAAAATGATAAAAATAATAATAATAACACAATTTCATGATCGGTTTGAGAATGTACATTTACATTGAAATCATGCTTTAAACTTCTTAATCTCACACGATAATCATTTTATTTTTAGTTTTCTATTTTTAAATGTTAAACTTAGAAACATCATTACTTCCTTTGTTTAATTATATAATTTTTGTGAACTTATTCAAAATAAAAAAAAATGGTTTTCATAAACTTTTTTCTATTTCTTAAATTAAGCTAATAATTCAAATATGTTTTAAAAACTTATTAATAAAATAATACAAAAACAAATTTTTTTTATCCATGAATATCCAAACCTGCTCTCGCACACCTCAATTAATCTCACGGGCTAACCACCTGATCCTATTACATTAAGTTGTGAAAGTAACTCGTAGTATAGTAAATTCTATATAGGTGACCACGATAGTTTGAGAATAATATTTCTTAAAAGAAAAAAAAAAGAAGTATAATTTTAAAAACTAGAAACCTAAAAACGAAATGATTATAAAACACACTTTGTATTTGATGAATATCCCCTAATATTTCCAACTCCATAATCATAATTTTAATTGTTAGGCCTCGAATCCAAACAATTTTTGAGAGCCCAAAATACAAATTCATCTCGAGCCGAGATTCAAACCTTAATTTGTTAGAGGTATTATGTGGGTTGTCTCTCTCTAATTACTATTTTCTCGCTTTTACATTTCGAAGAATTATTAGTTGATTTTTTAGAAAATAACCATTTCTCCATTTTTTTTTCTCCTTCGTAAGATACATGATGGCTTTCTAACATAACACATTCATTTACATGGAAATTTCGACCTAGCTATAAAGAACAGAGAAAAAGAGCCTCAAAATTGATCAATATTGTCTCTTGAGCTTTGAACTTACCGAAATGGTGTCGTTACTTCGAGCTGCTTCCACATTTTTAACCCAACCATCTCTTTCTGAAGACTCTTGGTAGTACCGAAAGCTCACAAACACTATGAAAGCTGCAAAATCATACCTCAAATGTCAATATATATCGTGCCTGTTTGGTGATGCTCTCATCTATTTGTCTTTAGTAGGAAGGGTACTCAATGTGTTTTGGGTATGTATGAACTATGTTTCCGAAAACCAATTGACAATCTAGAAACGAGTTTTATCTGTAATATCGAGATTATATTTGGGTTTGAAATGGTTACCTGCCCAAATTCGATATAGAATTGAAGAGAAATTCCATGTTATAAAGAAGATGGCAATGGCCATTCCCTTCTTGTGGGAACATATCTTCCAAGAACTCCAAAGAAATTTCATCCAATGATCACCTAATTTCCAAAAGAGAAAACCCAAACATCATTAAACACTCAAAAAAAGACATTACAAAGTATCCTCAAACACGCCCGAAATCATTAGTGAAAATATTCTCGACTGATTTGATAACGACGAGTAAAAGAAAAGCATGATCACAAGAACAAAGAGCTAAAGGGGCCAAGGGATTTTGAAGAGTTTTGACGTAGGCATATATTGAAGCCAATAAAGCAGGTAATCGTTGCTCGAAAAAAAAAGAATTAAAGATTTATGGACTAAAACTAAATTTTAACCCATTATTTCTAAAATAAATATTCCAAACATTGTATATGAAAATACAAAAAACAAATTGTTGTAATCCTGTTTCGGTCTCTAAATTTTTTTACATTTAGTATTCTTAGATTTTCAAATTTTCTCTTATGGTCCCTAAATTTTAAAAATCTAATTTTTTTTTTTTGGTTGGACAAATGATTAACATATTGAGATTAGTATTAAGGTCGGTGAGAAAATGTTAGACAAAAAGATATTAGATAGAAATATAGGGGGGACAAAATTTATTATTTTTTAGAAATTCAAATTAACAAAAATATACCAAAATGACACAAAAAGGTCTGGAAAAAATCAACGTATTATAAATTAAAACTCGAAAATAGACCGAAACCAAAACAAAATTAGGTCACGAACCCAATAGAGTTTTAAATTTTCGAGGATCAAAATAAAACTTTCACTATCGATTCTTTAAATAAAAAAAAAAAAGAACAAAAAATTAGGAGACAAAATCCTGTAGAAAAATTGAAGAAAGTAAATAAACGAACGGCCATGATGTAACCTCATATCACACCATCCGACAGATCTGACACCCAAACGTATGAAAAGAAAAGAAATCACCGACAAAGAATAAATAAATAATCCCTTTTTTTATTTTACCTCGTGAAGGTTTAAGTGGGCCCCACCCAACGTGACGGAAAAATTGAGTCTGAAATTAATTTTATTTTTCTTCCAAAAGAAATGATCGGAAACGTAGCCGTTATTTGAAGAGACAAAAGAGAGGCAGAATGTGGGACCAGGAGAGGGTCAAACAAATCGACGTACCAGAACACAGAGGCGTACGGTAGTTTGTTGTACTCGGCCGTATGCAATTCTAACACCGATAAGGAGCCAGAAAAAATGTTAAAACGCTATTTTTGTCCCTCTATTTTTTTGTTCGGTCTTGAACTTTTAAAATATACATTTTATTTATTTTAATTTTTTCTATCAAACTTTTAGTATGACACTGCTTTTGAAATATTTATGTAAATATGATTTTATATTAAAGAATTTTAGTTATATGCAGAATTTATTTTAAAATTTTATAAATAAAAACTAAATGGTCCATTTTAAAAAATTCACGGACCCGAACGAAAATTTTGAAAATATATAAACTAAAATGAATCAAAGTTGAACATACAATGACTAAAAGAAATATTTTATAATTTAAAAATATAGAGATGAAAATAAACCAAACTTGAGAATACAAAATCAAAATAATATTTTAATTAAAAAATAAAAGTAAAGTTAGTGGCGATATATATTTACCGTGGGTAATTAATTTAGGCAGTGTGAAAAGCGCGAAGAATCCTGTGCCAGTAAAATCAGTACAACCATTTGTCAGTCAGTACCCAAAGAAAATACAAAACAAAGCAAATGAAGAATAAGCTAAAATATTATTAATTACTAATTAATTCCCTTTTCTAAATTTTAGAAGTTCCAATTTAATCTTTTTATAATTTAGTTAACTTTTTTTTTTTTCTTTCTCAACCTTGACAATGACTCCACTTTATTATATTTGACTATCAAAAAAATCATAAAATATTAAATTTTAAGTCGATTAGTACCTTAAATTCTTATCCTCTAAATTCTTTAAAATTTATAATTTAGTTAAATTAACTTGCACCTTACCTTGAGAAATCGAATGTGTCCCAAATAACATAAGAGTAAATAACTTTAGCAAAGTACATCACGCTAACTAACTTTGGCAAAATACAATTTTTATTCTGGATACTTATTTAGTTCATGAAGTTTCAAAAGCGACATTTTTGGGCTATGAGATTTAACAAATATTTTAAAGGGTTCTTGAACTCGTTTGTTCGCTTTGAATTACTTACTAATTTGACAAAATATATTAATTCCATAATATTTTTATAGAGACTAGGGAAAGGCAAATGAGGTCCGGAAGAGGAGAAAAAAAGTTTAGTCATTGAAGAAATATTGTTAGTCAATTATCGAACCAGTAAGAACATTTTCTCAAATCTCAAGAACTGGAGTGTCCATCTTSAAATCCCAAGGACCAAATAAGTAGTAGCAACCGCAAACTCCAATGACCAAAAGTACATTTTGCTCCCTAACTACCATAATCTTTTAACTTTCAATGACTTTTAGAAGTGCCTTGAAAGGTACTTAGATTTTTTAGATCAATATAAAATTCAAAGTGCTAAAGAAATATGGCATGTTACACACAACTTTAAAAATTTAGGATCCAAACTCGTAATTTAACTAAAATCAAATCAAAATTCGATAGTGAAATTTTAGGAGTGAAATATATATATATATATATTCTGGAGGGTAAATGAGTAAAAAGGACATGATAGAATGGTTACCGCATTTGACAACATTCCAAAGAGTGATGAATTTGCCCCACTTCGCTAACACAAACAGCAATACCGCCAACTGCACCATACACAATATTATATATTACATCAAATAAAATGTTCTATATAATTTCTGAATCAAAATTAATTCTTCAAAATAAAAATATAATAAACTAAAAAAAAGGAATGAATGTATTATAATACTTCAAAAGCTTAATTTTATCATTAAAGTACTAGATACATTAAATAGTATTTTAATCTATATGCTTTCCGCCGCTCTATTCATTCATTGTGATCTCTATACTTCGAACTTTAATGATCCCACCATTAAAAGAAATTGTCATTTTTATCCATTTATTTTATTTTTTATCTTACCTATTTCATGTATTATAATACGACACTACACTCCATACATTGCTTCTATATATAATCATAATTTTATATTATAATATTTTTGTTAGTTAGAGAATGTGTGTTAAGATTCCGTAAACAATGGCTGAGCCACTTTCTAATCATACACCATAGGCATTTTAAAAATTACTAATTAAAATTAAAGTAATTTAATGAATCAAAACGGGAAGTAAAAAGAGAGCAAAATAACATTTCAACCTATTACATATTAAATTTAGTAATACCATTAAAATGGTAATTTAACAATTCAAAAAAATAAATATTTTTATTGTTAAATATTATCTTCACGCCACCCAATAAAACAATTCTAACCGACACTACTATAAATATAAAAAGAAAAAGAAAAACTCCACCCAAATCTATCGAAAGATAATATTTTTATAAATGCCACAACAAGTAAGAATGGGATTCAATTTTTTTTACAATTTATCCCTAATTAGTCATTTTTCATTAATTATTCAACATAATTATATAAATATACACTGAAACTTATTTTTAAAATATAACAAAAAAAAGAAAAAGTTACCTTCATGGTTGCAGAAGGATCTCCACGGAACAGAGCCTTAAGATTTTGTAGCAACTCATTCACGCAAGGAACTAATCGTTTGGCAAATCGAATCATTTCTTCTTCTCCAACCACGTAATTTTCATCAACCCCACCAATTTCTTTTCTCCTGTAATTTTCCCGGGAAAATCAAATAGAAAAGGAAAAAAAAAACTCAGAGAATTGCCTCTAATGGCTTCTTTTCAATTCTCAAAAGCTATGAAGAAAGAAACTCATCAATCACCTGCCAAAAATCGACCTGTGGAGGAAGATGGCAGCGAGAAAAAGAAGACCCAGATGGGAAATCACACTGATAAAGCTGCAGAGAAAACAGAATCAAACTCAAAAGCCCATCTGAAGCTCAATAATGGCGGATTTGGGGATTTTTTCCATTTCTTCTTTACCTGATATTGATGTCCTTGATGAAAAACGAGAGGATTATAATGAAATTCCCCGCCCCAAAAACCAGCGCGGATCTTGAGAAATCTCTCCACATTATTAAATCCACTGCAAAACGCCAAAGATATTAAGGAATTGAATTAGGGGAAAATCAAAATGAAAATGAAATGAAAATCAGAATTTGCTCTCTCACTTAATGTCTGCAGTTTCTGTTTGTTTCCCGGGAAAGTTTCTGCCGCGATTTTCTTGCGCTCTGGTAAATTTATTTCCTTAACATCGAAGCTTTTTTTCTCAATCTCTGCTTCTTCTTCTTTTTCATGGGCGTCGAAGAAAAGTTGGGGAGCTGAAGAAATGAGCTTCTCTTTGCATTCATTAAACTCCTCGAAGTTTTTCTCCGGCGAGTTTTTCCCGATTCCGTTTGCCGGTCTCGTACCACCGGCAGATTTGCGAGTTTGATCGGTCTTCTTCCTCGCTGAGTTCTTCTCTGTTCTCTCGCCGGAGACTTGAATCGGTTTGATTGGGGGGCTGCCGTTGGATCTCAATTTCCTCGCCAGAATCGGGCTTTTCCGATTCTGTTCATCGCCGCTACTCGGCGACTCATCGGGTTTTTCCTCAGCGATGAGGATCGAATTAAAACCCTCCTCCGATTTCCACGTCTTCCTCCTCGCGCCGCCACCGACTCCGCCGGGAACGGCGGCCGGAACCCCACATTCGCCATTTCCATCGTCTCCGTTAAAAACCCTAATGCCACCTCTGACTTCATCGAATCTGATCCTGCTCTCCCACACAGAGCCCGCCACCACGCTGCCCCTCGCCGCCGCCCTCCTCCGGCTCAAATCCATCTCCTCCGCCGACCGGCAGCAGCAATCTGGAAAACCCAAGCTTCGAGAAGATCAACAATGGCGGACAGCAGAAAAATGAAGGGGGAGAATTTTTCTGTTACGCCAAATGGTAAGTATTGAGTTGGGGAAAAGGAAGATGTGGGTCTGGTTCTGGAATTCTTTTTCTTTTGGGTTTGAATTTTCTCTCACTTTCTCGGGAATCTGGAGGGGAAAATGGAATTAGAATTTAGAAATATGATTTGGGGACTTTGTAGGGTAATTATTCGAATGGAAAGTGACAAACTTTTTTTTTTCTTCTTTTTTAAAATTTTTGTTGTTGAAGTGTCGAAAGAATTGAGAGGTCAGGACAGTGTCCAAAAGATTGCCATTTTCAGAAGCAGACAAGCAAAACGTTAATGTCTGCACACACAAGCTCCGTCCATGGAGGAAGAAAACAGATTCCACACAATTTTTATTTAATGTCTCCATTTCAAATATTCATATTCTTTTTCAAATAATGATTTTTATGAAGCAGAAAAAAGAAATCTAGATTTATCTAAACTCTTATCTATTTTTACTATACACCTTGCACTTGGATAATAATTGTTCTTTTTTATTTGAGAAATTGTTACAAAAAATAAAAAATAAAATTGCAGTTTTGTTATGAAATTTAATTGTGAAAAGCTTAATTGCTTAAATTTGGACCAACCAACTTGTTGAATGTTCACAGTTCACACAGCAAAGATGCAGCTGGTGACAGAGAAGAAATAAAAGTCCCTTAAAACAAAAGGACTAAAATTCCATTGGCTGAAAATAAATTATTAGTTTCTTGTTCATTTTTTTAATATAATTGATAAAAGATATGTAAACATATTTGATATTCCTTTTTATTTTCTCGTTGTCTAAAATTTCAAATTAGAAATAAAAAATATATATATAATTCAAAATTTATTGTATTTTATATGTTAAAAGATAATTAAATAATACTTGGACCGATATTGAAAATAAAACAAGATTTTGTTGCTTCAATTTTGAAAATGTTTTTTTTAAAAGAGAGCTTATTAGACGATTATATTTTTGCAAGTGGAGAGTGAGAAATAAGTAGTAAATGGAAATGTTACAAAACGGGCCAAAAATGACTAAAATCATAGTTTTTCACACCGTTTTTCTAACTCCGCTCTACATATGTATATTTATTATATAAAGTTGGATAAGTTTCATGAGAAGGTTGTTGATGTCGATTTTTGAGCAAGTACCGCATAAGTATAACATAGGTGTCACTTACACCTTTGTCTCAAAGCTCTTGGTTACCTGCAAACAAAATCTAGCATTCTAATACTTAAATTAGAACTTAAGTTGAGAGTAAATGAGTATGGAGCAAGTAGAGTATATAAATACGATAACTTTATGAAGATGAGAGTCTCATTGAGAGTGTGTCAAATGCTTACAATAAATTGTGTAAGAAAAATTAGCTTGCTCGATTAGGGTTGTTGGTTTCTTTATATATGAAAAGAGAGAAAGTTTGCCAAGACACTGGGACAGCATGTTGCACTTAGGGTCATAGAGACCACCATCGTACCATTCCTCTTCCTCTGCATTCAGTAGATGAGGACGCGACGATACCTTGGACGATTCTCTGAGGTGTATTGCAGTTTGAGTACAAGGTCTCAGCATGCACCTTACTTATTGGCTGTCCTTCATATTGATCGTCCAGGTGTGCTCGATCCCAGAGTCAATGCACTCAGGTGTGCTTATGACACGTGACACCTTGAATTTACTCGATAACAAAAGTCATAATATTTTTTTATACATTACTCTTATTACTCCGACTTGAGCTTATGTAGATTTGCCCCTGAATGTTCTGATGTCCGATCAAAGTTGATGTTGAACTTATATATCAATTCAAAAAAATTGAGCCAAATAGAGAAGCGTGACGCATCTACAAACATGGAACGCTTCACTCATTGAGGAAGTTCAAGAAAATTAATCTCTAAACTTAAAAAAAATTAATAAAATATGACCAAAAAAAAAAGTTACGATCATACCCACCTTTTATAATCAAGAAATCTATTAAACACAATTTCTTAAATAATTTAGAGATTAAATAGGTCTAAGGAAAGTAATTGAAAGAAAATTAACCCTCGCAAAATTATAAAATTTTAAAAAGTTTGTCCGCCGTGTCAGAGGATGTACGACATCTGTTCAAACGTCTAGCGGCGGAAAAAGCGGGGTCAGAAGGGCGGTGGAACGCCACTACGACGCCGTTTCCAATGCCCACTCGGTTCCACCGACACAAAATTATCACAATTTAATAGTAGTTAAAAGACAATATGGTTAATATATTTTTTTTCTTTTTTATAAAATTCCAATAGGATTATTAAAAAAACATTTCTAATATTCCCAAAAATATATATATACTTTTAAATCTTATACTTTCACCGAGTTAAAATCCGATTTAGTATTTCAATTATGCAACAATTTGATTTCCGTAGTTTAAAATTTATAAATAATATATATCCTGAACATTTTTATTAAAATTAAGTGTTTGATTTGTATTACGTAACGATTTAAATCTCTGTAATTTTTAAATTTATTTGGTCTTTCGTTAATTTATCAATCTATATGTATAAGAAATTCTCTTAAAACTTAATAATATTTTTTACGATAGAACTAAATCAATATAAATTTTATGCTTCAGATACTTACTAAAATCTCAAAACTAAATTGTTAAAAATTAAAAAATATACAAATTAAATTATTATAAATCAAAGTTCATAAGCTACCTCGTTACTTTAATGGAAGTATAAGTATCAAATAATTTTTTACCTTATTAATTAAACGCACAGTAAGAGAAAAAAAAGTGCATGATTGACCACTTTATATTGCGATCAGAATCTAATAATGATTAGGAAAATATAATTAATAATTAAACGTGCAACACTTAAAAAGAATAAATAAGGAAAAAAAAAGTTCATAATTGATCACTTTATGTTGCGATCAGAATTTAATAGTGGGTTTCTTTAAAGCTATTTAATTGTAGTGAGGGGCATGGGGCAACATAATCAATAATTGCTAAATATCTAATTTAGTTTATGCCTCTTTTTTATTTTAGTTTTATCTTTAAATTTTAAATCATTAAAATTTTCAAATTCTTTCATTTATATATTACACATTTCTATTTTAGTAATAAAGAAGGATGATGTTTGAATTTGAAAAAGTACTCATGAACAATACGAAATGGGGATATTATTATTATTATTATTATTACTACATGGGTGAGTATGTCTCTTTTATTGCATATTTTTTTCAATATTTTTTTAATTTATTTATAGTGTTAGAGGATAGAGAATTTAGATCTTCAATCGTATCAAAATACTACTAATATTTTAATCGTTGAGTTATATTTAAGTTGTGAATTTGACACTATATATTATTATTTTACTTTAATATTGATATTTTGTAATAAGAAAAATTTACTTTAAAAATGTAATTAATAATTAAACGTCAATCTAAACATAGTTCAGATTAAAATATCTGTACATTTTATTTGGAGGTCAAATTTCTAGTCCACTAAAAAAAACATTAATAATTAAATGTACTAAAAGAGAAAATGTATAATTCACCACTTTAGATGGCATTGGAACAAACAAAGAACCTAGACTTCAATTTACTTACTTTATTTGATCTTCTTTTCAGTGTGTTAATTTTAATGCAAAATTGATCAAAAGAATGTTGATGTTGTTGGCGACCATTATATATAGATGTGGACCTCATGTCATGTTTTTATAGCTGTTTTCTTTTTGTTTTTAAATAAATAGAATATACTTATTCTTTTTTAAGCTTTTAAGGATTGGTTGACTATTTTTTTACCTTAAAATGTAATTTTCTTTATTAGTTGTCTTACTTAATTAACAAAAAAATTAAAATTTTGTTTCAATTTAATTTGGCTTTGTTTTATTTTCACCTCCATCTTATTCTAATTCGAAATTTGAACTTTCAAAAAATAACAATTCAATAATTATTTTTATTTTGTTTTAAAAATCGATGATATTAACTTCCTAACTTTGAGGAGGTGTACTAACATGTTAAGCTATAAAAGTTGGAGGCAATCAAAGAGGGGATAATAATATTACAAAGATCGAAATGGTTATTTTCTGAAAGTTTAAAGGTTAAAATAGACATTTTCAAACTACCTCTCAATTAGGTGCCTTCATTGTCAATAGTCTATACATAAATAGCCAACCAGGCAACAACCCTTCTTACAAACAGGCAATCCATCTTCTTGCAAACTATAAAATAAAACAAAGTTGAGTTATGTTCAACAAAAATAATAGTTTAAATACTATTTTATCTCTAATACTTTTAATTTTTATTCATTTTGATCCATATAATTTTTTTTAGTCTCTATATTTTCAAAATATTAATTTTTATCTCAATTCTTTTAAAAAATAACTATTTTAGTCCCTTTATTTTCTTTTTCATCTCATTTTTTTATCACAATTTTAACATGACACTACACAATAAATTTCTTAACATATAATTATAACTATGTAATAAAGAGTTTCTATTTGTGTTAAAATTTTGTAAATAGATATTTAAATGGTCATCTAATGAACAAAGTTGAAAGTATAATACTGAACCAAAAGCAAAAGTGAAAGTATTTAATCTAAAAATGATTAATTTACAATGAGACCCCTGTTGATTAACAATAACTTTTAAAAACGAGTAGACTTAGAAAAGTCTGGGGCCTTCACTGGCCAAAGACCACAGCTTTTGAGTGTAATTATAACCTTGCCATCAATCAAAAAGGCAGGCAATCACAGGAATCAGGCAGTCTGCAAGGAGCGGGCCTTGCTTGCAGCCCTTTCTAATGCCTTCAACCTGTTTGCTTCCATTCGAACTCTCTGTTCCTCTGTGATCTGAGTTTCACTTGAATTGCTTCTATTTGGCTCTTGGTTGCTCACACCTTCCATAGTTTCCCCAATGGTGTGGGAATCACTTTGTAAGTTCTGCAGAGGCTCCTACGATCACGGTTAGCAAAACCCATCGTTAAATTAGAGAGAACACAGGAAGATGTCTCATTTTAGTAGACCTTGATCTTCTACTACATCAACAGTTACTTTAGAACTTAAGGACACAGTAGTACAATCTATAGAACAATACTAAAACAAGCATTTTCTTTTCGTGTCATTGAATGACTATTCCATGACCGAATATAAAGATATAGCAATAATTAGAAAGTGATCACCTCATAGAATAAGTTGTAGAGCAAAGTAGAATCCAATGGGGCATCAAAATATTATAAAAAAATCAACCTGACAACTTGGAAAATTGAACTACAAAATTTTGGACTGAAATGAGGAAGCACTAGTTTGCTTCATTATGACTTCCTAAGACCTACGTTTATGATTCATGGTAAAATTTCCTCCTTACTCAGTTCAAGGATTGGGATGGTTTCCTTCTAAAACTACTTCAATATCAATCGCAGGGATGGAAAGTAAACCAAGCTTTAAAAGAAATAGTGAACAGAGAAAGACATTACTTCAGTAGCTTTCTCGTAAATTTCCTGAAGCATGTCTTCTTCCATGTCATCAGTACCATTATTCCTCAAAGAAGCCTCTTCCGGATTATCAAATAAGTCCTCCGAGTCTTTGGCTTCTGCAAACATTAGAAGACGGGTTTGAGGTTCAAGAAAAGGGATACACCCAAATAATGATTAGTTATAGAGTCGCAGAATATTTTAAGATTATAGTTTAGAACATGAGAGAAAAAAACATTCAAATGGATCGGATTTTACTCTTTAGGTTGCATTTCTAAATACGCAGAGCCAAGTACACATATCAAACCATTCCCCAACCCTAAAATCTGAAAATTAGCATAAAATCTATAAATACAAGCAAAACTTTGCAGCAGTTGCCCTGACTAAGAACCATGAAAAAGAACATAAACCACAATATATTTTTTCCAAATTACAAGTGCAACATAATGACTACTAGAACTTTGGATGTACCACAATCCAATATAAGTTATAACCATTCCAAGCACTTGACTACTTGGTGTGAAATAAACTGAGCATGCGAGGGTCACATATATTCATGCACGAGGAAATATTAAGAACCAAGCTCCATTTGGCAAATGTGTACACAACAAACCCCTAAAATCTCATAGCTTAAATCAAACCATAATATGACTTAAAAGCACATGGCCTTAATCAAAAAGCCTTTGACAACTGCGTACGAATATATGTATATATAAGAAAGAAAGATGAGAAGGTGATAGAGGTGGTAGTAACTGTGATGGTAGGTGGAGGTTAGTAAGGGCTAAAAACAAAGGCCACCTACAACTGTTCAATAATTTTCCATCATTGAGCAAAATTAAGTTCACTGATCCGAACCAGCTTATTAGATAGCTTAGATAGGTTGAGCCATAACGCCAAATTGATGCATTAAATGTTCAATTTTAATTTATTCTCTTTTATAATTATTTCTTGCTTATTTATTCTGACAATTCAATTTACTACAAGTTTATCATCTAAATCAAATTTGAATTTTCTAAATAGAGCTAGAGTCAAATAATTATAGCGCTTAAGAAGAATTAGGATTCATCTTAGAGGACAACACGCATCTTGCTAAACACTATAAAATTTGATACCATATAGCTGCACTAGTTCCATCACGATCAAACAGCTTATGATAATAATGATATGCGTCTCTTTTCATAAATGAGAGTACTAGAATTTACCTGTTTCATTATTGACGTCTTCATTTACAGTGGGTGACTCGCGCCACTTTGTAGGATCCCCTCCCCTGGCAACTCTCTCTCTTAGTTCTCCAAGACTCATCTGCTCAAAAATATTTCAAAGAAGGCGAGATAGATGTCATATAATAAGCAAATTTGCTCAAAATTGATTTGGTTCGATAGGCAAGGATTAATTTGAAACATTACAGAGTTAGAGTTTGTTATGCATACCGCACCATAATATAATCCACTGTCTATTTTGGTGCAATGGTTTCCTAAGAGCAGTGCGTTTAGTTCAGATGCTAGCTATGTTATTAGGCAAAACTTGTGTAGTTTGACACACATACCAATCCAGTCAGCCATATATGTACACCTTTGTTATACCTTCATTATAAAAGATAATATAAAGTCAGGGGTCATGCACATTTTTTACCTTAACACGTTTCGTAGCAGCTACTTGTTCCACCTTATGTACAAAATGTTCGAAGGAGTAGTAAGGGAGTATATGAGAATGCCATTCCCTGTATAAGCCAATAAAGTTTTCCAAATCACTGACCTGCAAAACGACCATCAAAAGCATAATTCAATCAGCATAAGAATCAAATCATTAGAAAATGATAGTGGATGAGAGGAAGACAACACAGCGTTGATGAAATACACATGATTATAATTGAGTGGAAACAAGCTTTCAAACTGGTAAACTACTACTGAACTATCAAGGTAAATTAAGATGTGATATCGTCTATTTTGAGTCTCTCACAGTTTTGCTTTTAGTTCCCTCTAAGACAGATGTTCAGCGGGATTTTTGGTTGGCTCCCAACAGCCTGATCTCTCTCGAAAAAAATCCAAAAGAACTCTTTCTTCGCAAATCAAAATGTTTCTAATCATATATATGTCAATGCAAATCAGAGGAATATAACAACTACAAACTTTTACTAATAAGACAGTAAACTGAAGTGAAATTACAAACTACCGCATAATTTCCTACACCAGCCACGTTCATAACAAAGACAGCTAAAAAACGCGCCAGACTCAGAAGAGTAGTAATGATTTTCCAAACCTCTTATTCCTTGAGCAGAAATGTTGAGATAATTCAAACAAAACCCCATAAATACCAGAACGTTCGCAAGGATTGGAAAGGAATCGGATGGAGAAACTTAACCTCGTGTCCACGGCCGCGATATTTGAAAGCGCGAGGAAAATGGCGAAGAACGTAACCGAGGCCATCCTCAGAGAGAAGTAGCTCGGGAGTGAGCTTGGGCCTGGTTCTGGGCGCCTTCTTGGGCTTCTCTGCAACTTTCGAAGGCGCAGCAGCAGCAGCGCCAGAAGAGGAAGAAGGTCTGGAAGAATTGAAAGTGGAATCGGGATTAGGAGCGGAGGAGGGACAATCTCGAGACCAATGGCCCGGCTTCCCGCACTTGTAGCATCCCGTCGGCGGTGCGACGGCGGCGTTGTCCTTCTCCTTCTCCATGTTCGAATCACTCGGCGGCGCGGCGCTCGGAATCGGAATCGAATATTGCGATTATGAACACCACAAACAGCCCCTAAAGGACTATTGTGGCGGAGCAGCGTAGCTTATCGTGGGCGCGTTCCATTTGATGATGCCCATTTTCTTGATCTTTTGGCGGGAACCTTGGCGCCACGTAAATCGCAATTTTTCCAAATCAGATGATTGGAAATTTGCTTATTACTTCTAAAATAAAATTTTGGGAGTTTTTAAATTTCATGTTAAGCCATTATTTTATAAAGGCACGTTTAATCACTTTCACTATGTTATAATCACTTATAAATTTTGAAGATTTTATTAATGAATTTTTAGGAGTCCAATTTTTTCACTCAATGCTGTGATTTATGCAATTTAACTTATTAAATAATAAAAATAATCAACTGTTTCTCGTTACTCAATACAATAAATATGGGGACGGAAAATTGAACATGTGACCTTTAAGGAAGAGCAACATCAAACCTTTAGGAAAATAACAACTCATGACCTATAGAAAATGAGTAAGATATCTTAACTATTAAGTTAAATTAATGTCGAGATATTGTAGGATAAAATTGTGCAAAAAAGTAATAGAAGAATAACTTTAAATTTGCATAATGTATACTCACATGCTATAGAATCATAGATTAGTGTATTTTTATATCCTTACATTTTTTTTTTATTAGACAGAGAGTAAAAACTGTAGTACTCATTTAAACCTATAGTTTAATTTAATAAAATTAAAAATTCGGAGTAATTGTTATTATTATTTTTCTAATTTATGGTGTCTAAAAAAAAGGATATAGAAATGTCACGTGCGAGTTACGTGGCGGAAATGTAAGGAAGTGGAAGGGCGAGTGTGGTAATATCATCATCGCATCGCCCTCTCTTTATTTTCTCATTGGTTTCATCGTCATCGAGCTTCCATTCCTCACCTGCAACTCCAACTGCAACTGCAATTCCTCCACGGAATCC